CTCTCTCTCTCTCTCTCTCTCTCTCTCAAATCCCCATCGCAAATCCCCATCGCATGTTGTGGGGGATTGGAGATCAGCCCTTCGTTCGTTTTTCCACAACCATTGAACGACGATCCAACATGGCATCGCCCCCGTCATGCCCTCTTCGAAACCGAATTTTTTTAAAAGGAAAAAAAAGCCGACCAAAAAAAAGGAGAAACAAAGCAAATCCCCATCGCATATTGCGGGGGAATGGAGATCAGCCCTTCGTTCGTTGTTCGGCAGACATTGATCGATGATCCTACATGGCATCGCCCCATTTTGCCCTCTTCGAAATCGAGCTTTTTCTCCAAAAGAAAAGAAAAGGAAAAAAAAGGAAAAACAAACAAGAGAAAACAGCAAATCCCCATTGCATCAAAGTGGGGGAATGGATATCAGCCCTTTGTTTGTTGTTCGACAGCCATTGCTCGATGATCCTACATGGCATCGCCCCATCATGCCCTCTTCGAACGCGAACTTTTTTTAAAAGTGAAAAAAAAAAACCGAAAAAAAAAAGGGGAAATAGCAGATCCCCATCGCATGTTGTGGGGGAATGGAGATCAGCTTTTCGTTCGTTTTTCCACAACCATTGAGCGACGATCCAACATGCCATCGCCCCATCATGCCCTCTTTGAAACTGAAGTTTTTTAAAAGGAAAAAAAAAACGAAAAAAAAAGGAGATCAGCCTTTCGTTCGTTGTTCCCACAACCATTGACCGACGATCCAACATGGCATCGCCCCATCATGCCCTCCTCAAAACCGAACTTTTTTAAAAGAAAATAAAAAAAAACGGAAAAAAAAAAAGATAAAATAAGCAAATCCCCATCGCATCAATGTGGGGGAATGGAGATCAGCCCTTCGTTCGTTTTTCCACAACCATTGATCGATGATCCTACATGGCATCGCCCCATCATGCCCTCTTCGAAATCGAACTTTTTCAAAAGGGGGAAAAGAAAAAACCGGAAAAAAAAAAGAGAAACAAAGCAAATCCCCATCGCATCAAGGTGGGGGAATGGAGATCAACCCTTCATTCCTATTTCCACAACCATTCATCGATGATCCTGCATGGCATCGCCCCATCATGCCGTCTTCGAAATCGAACTTTTTCAAAAGAGGGAAAAAAAAAACCGAAAAAAAAAAGAAGAAACAAAGCAAATCCCCATCGCATATTGCGGGGGAATGGAGATCAGCCCTTCGTTCGTTTTTCCAGAACCATTGATCGATGATCCTACATGGCATCACCCCATCATGCCCTCTTCAAAATCGAGCTTTTTCTCAAAAAGAAAAGAAAAGAAAAAAAAAGGAAAAACAAACAAGAGAAAACAGCAAATCCCCATCGCATCAATGTGGGGGAATGGCTATCAGCCCTTCGTTCGTTGTTCGATAGCCATTGATCGATGATCCTACATGGCATCGCCCCATCATGCCCTCTTCGAACGCGAACGTTTTCGAAAAGGGGAAAAAAAAAACCGAAAAAAAAAAAAGAGAACAAAGCAAATCCCCATCGCATCAATGTGGGGGAATGGAGATCAACCCTTTGTTCGTTGTTCGACAGCCATTGATCGTTCATCCTACATGGCATCGCCCCATCATGCCCTCTTCGAGATCGAGCTTTTTCTCCAAAAGAAAAGAAAAAAAAAAAGGAAAAAAAAAAAAGAGAAAACAGCAAATCCTTATCGCATCAATATGGGGGAATGGAGATCAGCCTTTCGTTCGTTGTTCCCACAACCATTGACCGACAATCCAACATGGCATTGCCCCATCATGCCCTCCTCAAAACCGAACTTTTTTAAAAGAAAAAAAAAAAAAAAATGGAAAAAAAAAAGATAAAATAAGCAAATCCCCATCGTTCGTTGTTCGACAGCCATTAAACGACGATCCAACATGGCATCGCCCCATCATTCCCTCTTCGAAACCGAATTTTTTTAAAAAGGAAAAAAAAAAAACGAAAAAAAAGGAGAAACAAAGGAAATCCCCCTCGCATATTGCGGGGGAATGAAGATCAGCCCTTCGTTCGTTGTTCGGCAGCCATTGATCGATGACCCTACATGGCATCGCCCCATTATGCCCTCTTCGAAATCCCCATCGCATCAATGTGGGGGAATGGATATCAGCCCTTCGTTCGTTGTTCGACAGTCAATGATCAATGATCCTACATGGCATCGGCCCATCATGCCCTCTTCGAACGCGAACTTTTTTGAAAAGGGGAAAAAAACGAAAAAAAAAGGAGAAACAAAGCAAATCCCCATCGGATATTGCGGGAGAATGGAGATCGGCCCTTCGTTCGTTTTTCCACAACCATTGATCGATGATCCTACATGGAATCGCCCCATCATGCCCTCTTCGAACGTGAACTTTTTTGAAAAGGGGAGAAAAAAAACCGAAAAAAAAAAGAGAAACAAAGCAAATCCCCATCGCATCAATGTGGGGGAATGGACATCAGCCCTTCGTTCGTTGTTCGACAGCCATTCATCGTTCATCCTACATGGCATCGCCCCATCATGCCCTCTTCGAAATCGAGTTTTTTCTCCAAAATAAAAGGTAAAAAAAAAAAAAAAAAAAAAAAAAAAACAGCAAATCCCCATCGCATCAATGCGGGGGAATGGAGATCAGCCCTTCGTTCGTTGTTCGACAGGCATTGATCGATGATCCTACATGGCATCGCCCCATCATGCCCTCTTCGAACGCGAAGTTCTTTTAAAAGGGGGGAAAAAAAAACCAAAACAAAAAAGGGAAAACAGCAAATCCCCATCGCATGTTGTGGGGGAATGGAGATCAGCCTTTCGTTCGTTTTTGCACAACCACTGAGCGACGATCCAACATGCCATCGCCCCATCATGCCCTCTTCGAAACCGAATTTTTTGAAAAGGAAAAAAAAGAAACTGAAAAAAAAAGGAAAAACACAGCAAATCCCCATCGCATATTGCGGGGGAATGGACATCAGCCCTTCGTTCGTTGTTCGACAGCCATTGATCGATGATCCTACATGGCATCGCCCCATCATGCCCTCTTCGAAATCGAACTTTTTCAAAAGGGAAAAAAAAAAAACTGGAAAAAAAAAGAGAAACAAAGCAAATCCCCATCGCATCAATGTGTGGGAATGGAGATCAGCCCTTCGTTCGTTGTTCGACAGCCATTGAACGACGATCCAACATGGCATCGCTCCATCATGCCCTCTGAAATCGAGCTTTTTCTCAAAAAGGAAAGAAAAAAAAAAAAAGAAGGAAAAAAACAAAGGAGAAAACAGCAAATCCCCATCGCATCAATGTGGGGGAATGGAGATCAGCATTTCATTCGTTTTTCCTCAACCATTGACCGACAATCCGACATGGCATCGCCCCATCATGCCCTCTTCGAAACCAACTTTTTTAAAAAGAGAAAAAAGAAACCGAAAAAAAAAAAGAGAGACAAAGCAAATGCCCATCGCATCAATGTGGGGGAATGGAGATCGGCCCTTCGTTCGTTTTTCCACAACCATTGATCGATGATCCTACATGGCATCGCTCCATCATGCCCTCTTCGAAATCGAACTTTTTCAAAAGGGGGAAAAAAAAAAAACGGAAAAAAAAAGAGAAAAACAAAGCAAATCCCCATCGCATCAATGTGGGGGAATGGAAATCAGCCCTTCGTTCGTTGTTCGGCATCCATTGATCATTGGTCCTACATGGCATCGCCCCATCATGCCCTCTTCGAAATCGTACTTTTTTTCAAAAGTGCGAGGCTACGCCCGCTTAGCCCTTACGGGGCCCTATCTACAACAAGGTCGGCCGCCCTAAGTGAAGGCAGGCACTACAGGCCCTTCGGGCCTCATTCTTCAGGGTACCCCGCATCGGGGAAAATTCAGGCAGTTGCGTTGCGCCAGTTGGTTGAATGAATCCAGGCCCTCGGCCGCCTGTGTAAATGAATGTGAAGCAGGCCCTGGCCTGGATACGGGTACCGGGCCAAACACAGGCCGAAAGCAGTTGGGCGCATGCAACCACTTCACGCCCAAGGCCTGCTCTCTTCGTGACTGGGCCTGTGCCTACCGGGGCCTACCAGAAGCTTCCTGGACTGGACKCAGGCAGGCCACTTCGATATAGGGAAGGGCCTGCCTCCTCATTCGATATTYGGGTGCTGGCTGCATGYTGCGCAAGCGCTGCTGCGCTCATTGCTGGTTGGCTGGCGCTCACGCTCTCACGGGCGAGCAGGGAGGCAGCGGGCAGCCATAGCCGAGCTGCTCCGCTGTAGGCTGGATGTGACGCAGGGTGGTCCTTGGGTGCAAGTGGCATCTGTGCGGTGTGGATCSAGGTTRTGAGTGTTACAAGAGACATACCTGGTGCTGGAAGCGTGCGGCATTGTCCGCTGTATGCTTGTACTTCAGGGAGCTGTTGTTGTCAAAATCGGCATTGTAGTATTAGGCTAGATAGGATCTGCCACAAGTAGTCTGGGCGCCGAGCGCCAATAGGATATCAACTCTTGTTCTTCGTTAATGATGATGAGAGACTATTTCAGCATTGTCAATTACGAACTATTGGTGTGTTCTGATTTGGTGAATCTCGTGATGCATGACTGCTGTTGGTTCGAGGTCAAGACTATCTGGACACATATGTATGATGCTGTTTGATTGTTGGAGTTCGCTAATGCTCATCTTCCTTGCAATTTGGTATCGGAGCTGTGGTACGGTGCGCTCATCTGGCGCTTGTCTCTTTCCTTATGCGGTACATACGTGCGGTCTGCTACGTGAGTGGGCTATGATTGGTGTGTAGCGAGGAGGGGAAGTGACAAGTATTGGCGACCCAGGCATCGCCTGGAAGGCTACGTGTAAATATTGGATGTTCGAAGTGTGATGAGAACTATCTGTTGGGTGATTGAGGCTGAGGTGGAACGGCGAGACAATGCTGGTTGTGCCGATGTTGTGACTGGTCATCGCAATCATCTTCAGATCATCTGGTGAGATTATCTCTATGGTTGGGGGCAGCTTGAATGAGGTACGTTGCTCTTAACCTTATCTACCCTCTCCATCACTTCTTACCGTGAGGTTGTGAGTTATGTCTTGAGAGTCCTCTCATCGTGAGGTGTCGTGTGCGCTCAACCTTAAGAGTCGTGATTGTTCACGTGGAGCATCTGGGGGAAGACGGCCGGAGCTTCTTGAAGGGCCCTGGACGAAGCACTGGGTCACGGTCACCATGCCAACCCACTGGGTGTAGTACACGCATGCTTCCCTGCAAGTCATTGGTTCTGCTGCTTGCTCATAATACGGGTTAACTCGAGTGTGGCAGCCTCTACAGACGCTTACCAGACCGTCTATAAACATTTCTGGCTGGGGACTCGGCTCTGATCTGGCTGTGATCGTCGTCCGGCTGCGACGTAAAATAATTCCTGGAGTCACTTGGGGGCGGACGTTAAATTGCCTCTTGATCAGCCAGATCATCTGAGTGGAAGGCTCGTCGGCATACGAGGATAAATAAGAGTGTCGTGGCTGCCTTGCTCGACGATAACCTGGGGCACAGGGGTGGGACCGGATTGCACACCTTCAGACACGCTTGGCTTCAGATGCTTAGGGACGTGACACTGTGACATTGAGAAGAACAAAGGGAGGGGTAGGTTTCAGGTGATAAGTTCGGGTTTAAATTCCATACTATGAACAGACCCAGTCAGTCAACATTATTTTTGTTTTGATTAGTTAGATGGACAGCCATGTGTCATCTTACCGACAACATTAGTTTAGAATATTGTTTATTCCTGATGCTTCCTCTGTTTGAGAACTAATCTTACTAAAAATAGTATTGACGGTAGGAATCTGACTT